GTTTTTTTTTAGTTATATTCGACACTAGTGTTTCGTAGACAAACATTTCCGTAATTATTCTGTCCTCTCGTCAGGAGATTTCAACAATTGATTGTCGTTTTTCTTATTTTTTGCTGTCTTTATACAAAGTATGATGTTATTAATCCATGCACTGATTAGGATATTCTTATTATTGGTGTGAAATTGAGTTTTGTCCTCTTTTTGTGTGCCCTTGTGTTTGTGTAAGTGTGTCTGTGCATGTGTATGCGTCACCGTGTGTATGTGTATATATATATATATATATATATATATATATATATATATATATATGAAGAAATATAGTCTTAAGGTGTACTATATTTATGGGATAAAATGCTCAATGTCAGTGATAGAGCGTGTGTAATTATAAAAGTGAACATTGAAGTCCACACTTAGAGCCGACAGGCTGTTTCATGCTATATGCAATCGTCAGGCCTGACGATTGTGTCTAGCAGTGTCAGACTGTCGCCTCTATGCGTTGACTTCAATGTTCATATATATATATATATATATATATATATATATATATATATATATATATATATATATATATATATTAAAATATATATTAGCAGAATTACCCCCGCCTTTCTGCGTGTCACACAATTTTTTGTTAGAAAATGATTGATTTTAAATCATTTTTCAATGTTACACAATGATCTTACCGATGTTACCTCCATCTTCTGGTTTTTTGCTTCTATATTTTGGATAGTCATTTCCTTGTTCAAATTTAAACTTAATTTAAATAAAAGGGAGTGGGGTTTGTTCCCCTAGTCTTCACTTTGATGAAAATAAAATATACTTATCCGAGTACCCTGGGTAATGTTGTTTCAGAATATATAAGTTTATGGGCGTGGTCTATCTCCAAAATCCTCGACAGACAGAGGCTACAACTTTATATACATGGGGAAAAATGTATGACAAATTGAAAAAAACAAAAAAAAACAATGTGAGGGTTTTCGTTCTTTAGGATTCCATCAGACTGAAACGCGTTACAAAAAAAAAAATCAAAAACTTTTCCCACTTTTTATAATTTTTTCCTTCGTGAATCTCTCGTAATCATAAAAGAGATTTAATAGTTTACATTATTTACGCTCAGATTCCTGTCCTCATATTTGCCATTATTATCACTACGTTTCGGCTGTTATATCCTCCGACCTTCATGTTTGCTACAGATAACGTTCAAGGAATGTTTATTTAATCTTCATTGTTAGATTTTTCACGCACCGCAGTTAATATGTAAGGATATCTCATTTTGTTCGGATTTAATTCTTCTCGACTATTTTCCACTCCCTTTAACACTGCACTACCGGGACCAGGGATTGAACTCACAGTTACTGTCACCAAATTCATAAACCATCACTTTAATCCACTACGCCATAGATCAAATAAATGACACAGTTCTAAATTTCTTTACGTCTACCAGGATCGACATACACCTGATGAACACCAGAGACCCCAACGGCCGAAATATTGTGATAAGACAAGGCCAATGATAAGGACAATAGTTCAAGTATAAATAATGTTAATTCTTCAACTAAGAAATGTAGACAGAATGCAGGCTTCGTTAACTCATTTTCTGAGATAAGAATCGTCCGGTAATGATATGAACCATGAACAAGAAATTCTCCCCTGAATTAGTAAAATAATAAATGACGGAAAATCTCTACACAGATAAAGATGTGACGTGAACCTACAGCGACATGGTTCTACCATCAATTGCTCCGAATATCATAGACAGAGCATGTGAGCAACGTGGACGTTTTAAGGAAAATAGGAAGTCTAACGAAACTCATGCTTACCATTATAAAAAGACAACTGGAATTTCTGGAATATGCGATGAGAAAAGAAATCCTGGAATATTCGATGAGAAAAGAAGTTCTGGTGAATTAAAAGCTTACAGGACTGAATGCGTGTGAACCGTGAGTAACAGCAATTAAAACTTTTGTCGGATTTGAGCGAATTGATGACAAGGTGGGATGATAAATGATGAAACATTACTTAAAGTAAGAATAGACAGGAAGTTGGGAAGAGCCGTAATCATATTCTGAAAGGACATTTAACACAAATGATTGAGAGAAGATATTGTGACAAATGATAAAATGTTCTAAATGAATATTAAACAAACAGAAAACGGCAAAAACTCAAGGATTTTCCCTTTTTTCAACAAGAAACTTTTGCCTCGCCACGATTCTTTCGTCACACTCCATTTTCCCAGTAATCAATGTCGCCTTCGAAATCATAATGCAGTTCACCTGAATTGGAATAACGGTAATTGGAGGATTTAAACAATAGACACTGAGACCAGAAATATACAAAAAATAATAGTTTATTTATTTATTTTTATTTTTCCATTTTTCTGTAGATTAAGCATTTCAGATCACGAATAACAAAAAAAAAAAAAATTAAATTTTGTAAAAGTTAATAGGAGATCCAGTTTGCTATGTAAATTCGTTGTAAAATGAATTCCCGAGCGAATCCAAACTCCGAAATATCTTAAAATTAGGATGAATGTTTTTTTTCTTTGTTTCTTATTATTTATATTTTTAATTTTTTTGAAAATCATATTCAGGATTGCTTTTTTTCCATATATTTTGATCAATTAAGCACTCAAGTTTTGGATATTTCAAAAAATGGCAAAAATACGGAATTGAGCATATATTTTTTCAGCTTCCGTAGGTTAGGAAATTTACTTAACAAACGGGACATGTCATTGACTTTTCATATTTCCTACTACACCATTGTGCAAATTAATTGAAACAAAGCGAATAATTGCGTTCTTTACTTTTTTTTCATATTTTTCCAGTGAAATATGACTCAGTGCATGTGTTAGTACTTTGTATGTCCAATCCATGTTCCTTGCAGATTGACCACAGATTCTCGATTGGATTTAAATCAGGAGTTTCTGGGCCAATATTTAGTACTTTGTTTTACTCACTGGTAAGGCTTGCCACTGTGTTTGTGCAGCATTACAATTTTTGGAAGCTTCCTTGGGGTAATGGGAATCTGTGACTGACATTACTCCAATCGAGAGGCGAGACAATAGTGTCTGAGTTTGATAAAAATCTGATGCAATCACGGATGACGCAATATTTTTCAAGGTCAAACAAATTTCATCATACATCCCGAAAATAGATCCATATTGCTACAAACCACTGCAAATGAATTAATCTGAGGTAAAATAGAAATCAATAACACACTGTCACTCCAGTGGGTCAAAAACTGACCGTATGTTGAAAGAAAAGAAACTAAAGCGGTTGTTAAATTTGCACATGGTTGTACATCGTCGTCGTCTTTTGTGGAAATTGTTGCCGATTATTTGAGGTGCTCATCGACATTTCCTTCTTTGCGAAATGAGTACTATGTTTGATCTGAAGTGACGCCCGCATGCTAGTAGGTTCAACCATTGCAGTAAAGATTCAAAGAAGGGAAAAGACTAAACACGATCTGACGGCCGGACGATCGGCAGCCCGATGCAAGCTATCATCATGAACCTGGCTATCAAGCCTCGATTTGGCGCAGCAGATTGTGTCAGCTAAAGTGCGTGTGCCATGGAGTGCGACCCACGGACCACCTCAAACAATTAGTCTACTATGACGAACTCAAAAATACATATAACTACAACGTTGCTATCAATGACTTAAGCAAAGACTCAATTTTAACATTTATAAATATAAAGTACAGTGTAATGAGAAAAGTACGCAGGTGTAAGCTTTAAGAAAGATTTATTCAACTAAAAATACAAGGTTCGTTATAGCGTCCTTTAATAGTGCAGGCAAACAGAAATAGCTCTCTCAAATTGGAGAGTGAAAAACAAGGTGAGACCTCTCTTAATTATTCATAACATACAAATAATTCTTTAATTTTAATTTGAGTACAATAAATATTTTCGATTCTGAAAAATGCTATGATACAAAGAAAGTCTAAGGAATACTAATCTACAAAATGATGCCACATTTATTCTTCTCCATTTTCGTCCTTTGGGCCATTTAATTTATTTAGAGCCTTATATAGTTACCTTGTAAAATAGAAGCAGAACATACACGATATTAACCTAAGGTGGAATAAGGGAGGCACGGTGGAGTAATGGATAGCGGCTCGGATTTAGGAATCGGAGAGCCAAGTTCGAATTCCACTCGAAGCCATTATATTCACTTACGTGCAAATACACTTAGGAAAGATGTGACTCCTCTTTTTCTCAGCCCAGCTATGGATAAATAGCAAGACTGGCTGAGTTCTTGAGCCTTGGGCGACAACTGGTCTACCACAGTAGAAATGGCAACCTACTGCTGGAAAAAATATGCCTCGAAAGATACATGATCGCCTCAGCGTGTCGCACAAAGCAAACCAAATCAAGTAGCTTCACCAAATTTGTAACGCCTTTCGTATCCTCAGAAAAAAAGACAAATTATTTAAACAATTCAAAGATATTCTGTGAAGATAAATAAATACGATTTTCTCTTTTCATTCACTCGCAAATTTGAATAACAAAAAAAGTGAAACAATAGGATGTGAAAATCTCTGCAAATTCGCTAACTGGGTAACGCTGAACATCCTTGCCAGTACATAAATAAATAAACTCCGGACTGTTCGAGATTTGTCAATTCGCAACGTTGGCCACAGCCTGCGATTTCAATCGTCCGTTCATTTCAACAGACAACGGAAATGACCAGCGAATCTCGCCATCTTCAAATCCGTGACCCACGGCGTGTTGATAATTGAATGTAATCTATTCTCATCACGTTCTAGGCTTCCGGTCGAAATAATCTGTGCGCTCCAAATGCACGTTGGCATTCGTGCGCTTTTGGCCGTTTCTCCGCGGCAATTACATCCTGCGGGTTATCAACATGAAAGAGGACCGATTAGCCGAATTGGGTATTTAAAGCCAATGTAGTCAATGGGCTGTTTGGTCAAGTGCTGAGCAGTCGGCAATATGAAGGTCATTTGGAGATTTTCTCATTGGAAAGATGAGTATGAGCCGTTTAGTATTTTATGTTTGCGTTTGAATCGGAAATCAAAGAAAGAAAGAAAGAAAGAAAGAAAGAAAGAAAGAAAGAAAGAAAGAAAGAAATAGAGCAAGAAAGAAATACACCAAGATAGATAGATAGATAGATAGATAGGAAGAGACCCAGATAAACAGATAAGAATAGACAGCGATAGATAGATAGATAGATAGATAGATAGATAGATAGATAGATAGATAGATAGATAGGAATAGACCCAGATACATAGATAGATAGATTGTAATAGACCCACATAGATAGATAGATTGTAATAGACCCACATAGATAGATAGATAGATAGATAGATAGATAGATAGATAGATAGATTAGAATAGACCCAGATAGATAGATAGATAGATAGATAGATAGATAGATAGATAGATAGATAGATAGTATGGAAAGGACCCAGATAGATAGATAGATGTATAGATGTTTTATTTCTGAGATGTAGAGTTATTATTTGCACAAATTACACCAGTGATTATTTTCCTCATCATTGTTATTGTTATCAAATCGTTTCTAATATTCTACCCTCCGGCCTACATCCGGCTTACCTTCAGTCATTTTCGAACTGAACCCAGTATTTAATCTACAGAGGAAGATTGATTTTTTCTCCTATCAATGTCTAGGAATATCTCGTCTAGTTCTTATTTCTTCTTACTCAGTTATCGATTGCCCAGTCTCCCTGAGTTCTACATTCAGGACTGTCAAGGAGACTACTGGATTCAAATATTGGTTCCTGAATTTACGACCATAATAATTATGATTTCAATCCCCAGATCGAGTAATACATATTTAGACCAGTGGGTACATTCTGAGAAATAACTGAGCTGTACTAAATAAGAACAGGTTGAGAAATCATATTACCTTAGACATAGACACGGAACGAAAAAAACATCCCCCCCCGGAAGCTTAAATATAGGGTTCAGTTTAAAATTCTATCAAGGTTAACCGCATCAAAAAACACGTAATCAAAGCCAGTATGACCAACGGACGTGACATCATAGTAGTAACAAACCCTATCCTATTTCTTTGATCTGGGAAACTTAGTTCTTATTTAATCTACCATCGTAGGCTGTCACCTTCTACGATTTTGTTTAATCTTGTCGTTTCTATCATTTATATTAGTTTTGAATCGCATTGTTTTTATTGAATCTAAAACTGTATTAACCAATAAAAGAATTAAACTCACAATTGCTATACAAGCGTTTTTTATTCACTTATCACGTGACATTTTCGTTATTTTTCTGAGAATTAAGATAAGTTGGAATGGGGAAAGTTGCTTTGCTCATTTGCTTTTATTCAGGGATAATACTGAGCGTTATTTCAGGTTATGACTCCTCTTCTATCCCTCTCTAACTCTAACTCCCTGATATATATATATATATATATATATATATATATATATATATATATATATGATCTCTTATCACCAGTCCAAGAAAGACATTTGAATCGCTACCACGTAAAACATTCATTTTTTATAATTTATGGAAATATCTACACTTTGTTTGATAAAGGTCGCGAAACCAGGAACCCGTGTAGCAGAATTATGGAAAATAGGGTAAAGATATATATTTTAAGATAAAAAAATATAAATACATTTCAACCAAAAACGTTTGCGGTATACTTTATTTTAAAAAATATATAGATACATACATACATATATATATATATATATATATCATATAAAGATATATAATTTTTAATATATTGGGGAAAATGTCTGACAAACGAAAAAATATTTTCTTTTGATGCGGTCGAAGAAGTCCGAAATCATACGTAATCTTTTCAACTTTGACATACATTTACACAATATATATATATATATATATATATATATATATATATATATATATATATATATATATATATATATATTATGTGAAAATCTTGGAGTTTCTTCCTGCAAGAAACAGACTTGAACCTTGAAACTGCTATTATTTTAACAGTATTAAAAGCGATGAACTATTCAACGCGAAGATTCCTCAAGTTTTTGCTTGATTTTTAGCTTTCCGTATTTTTGGTATTTATTTTTACCGCACCATTATATATATATATATATATATATATATATATATATATATATATATAGTCTTAAGGTGTACTATATTTATGGGATAAAGTGCTGAATATCAGAGATAGAGCGTGTATAAATATAAAAGTGAACATTGACGTCAAAACTTAGAGGTGACAGACTGTTTCATGCTAGACGCAATTGCCAGGCCACGAGTACTGTTTTTTTTCTTGGCTATTTATATATACGGGTCAGTGGTGCATTGTGGGTAGTCTATTTTAGCGGTTATTTCATCGAAGTTGTTTATTTTTTTATTTTTTTATTTGGGTTAAACTATTTTGCTTGTTTTTATTTATTTTTATTTTCATTTTTTATTTTTATTTCTTATCTTATATATTTATTTATTTTTACTTTAATCGGTGTTTTATTAACGTAGTAAAATTTGTTTGTATCGCTTATTTCATAGTTTTGTTTAGGTTTAGGAAGATAAAGCTATTTATACAATTTTAGGGTTGATTGCTGTAGTTTATTCTAACTATTATTTTGGCGGGAAAATTTTTTTAATTTATTTATTACTTCATTTATTTATTTGGATTGATAATCTTTTTTTTTAACGATTAATTTATCGATTTGTTAGTTTATATTTTTATTTATTTGGATTAATTTAGATTAATTTATTTTATTTGTTTTTACTCTTCACTTATACTGTACATTTTAATTTACTCTTTTCGGTTTTCGATCGTCATATAACAGTCATAGCTAAATTTTTGTCCGATTTTTGGCTTTATTTTTATAATCTAACTAATATTTTGGTCATAATGGTTTGGTAATTTGTTTATTATTTACTTTATTTATTTGGATTCATTGATTTTAATTTTTTTATTTATTCTATTTCGTCTATTCTAATGGGTGTGATTTGTTTGGGTTAATTTATCTTACTTATTTTATTGTCGTTTTGTTTATTTATTTTTTCAGTTTTCGATTTTTAAGTTACGTAGTAAAAGTTCGATTTGATGTCTGCATTTTGAAATGAGCTCGGATCGTTTATTTAATAATTTATTTTGGTCTGGGAATGTAATGATAGCTATTTTTTCCCTCCAAGTGAAGTTTGTAAGTTTTGGATTGGTTTTTGTAGGCTGATGATCTTTTCCTTATTTTCCAAGACATTTTTGGTGTGATGTCTGTTTTGTTTTTAATTTCCCAGATATGTTTAGAAAGCATTGTGCTGTTTGCGTATTAACTATAATAAATACCCGAACAGCACAATGCGCGCATTTACTATTAGCAAAATGAATTGGCTATTAATTACATAAAAATTACTGAAATTACTGATTTATTCTATGTATATCTACTTCACACACAGACACACAAACATATATATATATATATATATATATATATATATATTGATGGCGAAGTGGAAAGTGCTGATATATATATATATATATATAGGGAGAGAGAGAGAGAGGGAGAGAGAGAGAGAAGAAAGATAGATAAATAAAATTAGTATGTGTTTGACAGGAGGAAAAGTCATATAAATATAGAAATAAGCAAATTCCTGTAAGTTGTTCTTAATGGAAGCCCTATTTTGATAGAATCATATTTAACAAACTACAATACTAATTCAGTAATAAAGTGAAATCTATACTACGAAGAATAAGTGTTTACACATTTATGTGTGACTGCATGAGAATTTTATGAAAAACAGCATTGTTTTTTTCTTGTATTTTTTTTTTTAAATTTGCAACGACACATATATATTATGATATACTGATGAATAATGAAGATCTAAATTCTGAAATCCCGAAATTCATATGAAGACTTGTCCAATTTAGTTTAAACTGTAAATTAAAAAGTTTCATTAACAAACCTATAGTGGTTATCGTTTGAATCCATGTAAATAGAAAATACAAGAATGAACAAACTTTCTGTTGCTTTAATCAACAAATACATATCATTATCTGCGCGGTCAATCCAGTAGATGTTAACGCCAATTCATATATATATATATGAAGAAATATATGGGATATATATATATATATATATATATATATATATATATATATATATATATATATATATATATATAAAATATATATATGTATATATATATATATATATATATATATATATATATATATATATATATATATATATATATATATATATATATATATAAACAAATATATGGATATAGATCCGACAGTATGAAGAAAAATATACGAAAAAAAAAAACAAACAAAAATCCTAATATGCAATTATGCCGTTTTAATGTTAATATAATGTCAACGTCGGACGTTTCGGTCTAATAGACCATCTTCAGGACATATTCATAAAACATAATTAACATAGACCATATTCAATTCAGCATGAAAAATACGATGGACATAAGAGCAAGACCAATCCAAACAGATAACTGAAATCTTTTTCGAACATAAATGAGATATTCGCCTCGGAAATGTAAACAATGCTTTAGTTGTACACACAACTAAAGCTGATCAAAATTCTGATTTTGATTCTGTGAACATTTTAAAATGTTTTCATAAAAATCTTAGGCGGATTTATGAAGCAGGCATAATATCTATCTCACGCACAGTGAACACGAGACTTGGCTTCTTTAATATTTCCCCTTTTCTAGCAAGATTAATGCTCGACAAACGTACATATAAGTTTTAGATCAAAAATAAAATTCTTTTCGTTTTTCATTCAAAATACTCAAATTTTAGGAATACGTTTTCACAATGTCGCCCACGTGACGACGACTTGATCATATTTAAACGGAACGCTGATCTTATAAAAGATTTCAGTTATCTGTTTGGATTGGTATTGCTTTTATGTCCATCGTCTTTTTCATGTTGAATTGTATATGGTCTATGTTAATTATGTTTTATGAATATGTCCTGAAGATGGTCTATTAGACCGAAACGTCCGACGTCGACATTAAAAATTAAAACAGCATAATCGCATATTAGGATTTTTGTTTGTTTTTTCAGTATATTTTTCTTCATATATATATATATATATATATATATATATATATATATATATATATATATAAATATATATATATGTGTATGTATGCATGTGAATATATATATGAAGAAATATATATGCGTGTGTATGTCTGTGTGTATGTATATATATATATATATATGAAAAATATATATATATGTGTGTATGTATGTATATATATACATACATACATACACACATATATATATATATATATATATATATATATACATACATATATATATACACATATAAATACATATATATACATACATATATATATGTATATATATATACATACATATATATACATATGCATATACATATACATACATATATATATATATATATATATACACACACATATATATATATACATACATACATACATACATATATATATATATATATATATATATATAATAAAGCCTGCAAATAATCATGAGGCCTCTTTAGGGAGAAAGACAGGTAATGAAGTGATCTCTGAAAGAAACGATAAATCAAGCGAACCCCATATTAATTAACTATCCACTGATTCCAATAAATGACTGATTTAATTGAAAGCCATATTCTGTTTATGTCCAGCCCACCTGCACCGAATTTTAATTAAGCACACACGGAGGTACAACAATGAGCGAAAGACAGAATTAAAAACAAACAACAAAAAAGCGGCGCATGCGCACAATTAGCTAAATCATGCGCATGTATAGATTGGAATGTCGTATATATGTAGCCGGAATATCAACACACACAAATGGTTTGTTTCCATGTCAGTCAGTGAAAATGTTTTTACATGATCATGAATTCAAATATAAATTAACAATTATTAATAAACAAATGGCATCTAGCTTTTTGTAAAAGTTTTTGAATATCAATCGGAGGTTTGTCATTTTTACTCAATGCGGTCGAGTTGCTACCTATCTGGCCAATCTCTTTTTTCTTTGTAAAACCATTCTTGAAAATAAAGTTTTATATAAAACTAGCAGCATGGCCCGGCGTTGCCCGTGCTTGATTCAAAAATCGTACGACACATACAGCAATCGCTATCGCTTGACTTAAAATATTTTTGCCCTTCCTTGCCTTTAAAGGAGTGCCTTTTGCCATGCTGATGTTGCTACATGCCTTACTTCTTGCCTATCTCACACTGCTATTTTTTCTAAGCTAGTATATTTACTAAACATTAAATCTGTTACGAAAAAAGAACTAAAAAAAATGAACACAAAACGATTTAAAAAAGGACTCGTAACTAGAAAAACCGAATGAAAAAAGAATGTTAACAACAAGTACTTTTTCACACCCAACTCAGTTCTGCGAAATCAGAATCAACGTTGAGTTTAAGCAAGCGAATGAGCCAATTGGAGTAAAGTGCCATGCAGATTTAAATTTTTCCCACTTGTGACGAATGCAGCTATCGATTTTTTTGCATGCTAGCATGCTAGTTAACATTCGTGTCAGTCAACTGTTGGCTCTCACGCTGGCCAATAGAATCTTCCTGCCTATTCGTGGCAGCCAGCTATTGGCTCTCACTCAAACTACATGAAAACATCCGTAGAAATAGGAAAAAATCGATTATTTCCACTATCGATGGGAATTGGGAAATGCAATGTCGGTCTTGGCCTTCATTCTAACTTGGAGCATGTGCATGTAAATTTTGGTGCAAATCCACCGAAAATTGCGGCCGTGCATTCGTTACACACACACACACACACATCCTGCGTTTTATAGATAGAGATATTAATTTCCCTGGATGTTCGTTTACATAAATCAAGGAAGATGCATTTGCACTAAATCTACTGACCATCAAAACACACACGCAGATATAACATTGCGATTGAAAAGTAACTCCCTATTTTATGTGCGATGGACTCTCGCGTTTTGTAAAAAAATATAGATAGACGAGAGAGTCCATCATATATAAAATAGGGGAGTTACTTTTCAAAAACCCTATATATATTTCAAACCCCTGTATGCACTATAGGGATCGAATTCATTCGTCACCCATATTGATCTTGAGACAATCTTTCTATGCATTACAACGAGTAAAAAGGTCCCCGAATTGCAGCATATATTTAAATATTAAAATATTACGTTGAAATTTCATAATGGTACAAAATTGAACACAAAAAGATGAATATTTAAAGTTGGGAAAACATTCAAGGATATAATGTTTTTAAAATTACTAATTATAATATCTTAATTTAGTATTTTTTATATAACACTATGGCTACAGAGGTTTAAGAACTTTGTTGCTATACGCGTAGTTGACCTTATTCATTTTTAGCTGCAGCTCATATATAAAGGGCTTCAATAATTTTAAGTTTTTGCTTATTATTTTGAGGAAAACATGTATTTTCGACTAATATCTGTCTACACTGTAAATGTGGACATGAATGTTCCTGCATCTGTTCTGAGCTTTAAATTATTTATCCAAACATGCTTTAATGAAAATATGCTACCTCTATATATATATATATATATATATATATATATATATATATATATATATATATATATATATTCTCGAAGTTATTAGGCAAATCGTATAAATATCAATAATTCAAATTTAGTTTGAAAAAAATTGTAAATTTGAAACAATTTTCTTTGTCCAAACAATTTTTGGTGGTATCAATATTTATTGAAGTTAGTGAAGTTATTGAATGTTATTTGATATATTCTAAAAAAAAAGCTGCCGTCTGATGTTATTAGTCAAAAACGAATAATTTCATTTTACTTCAATAATAGCCAATAAAATCATCAAAAAAGGATCAACAAAAAACAAACACATATGATAAGCTTTTGAATCCTTTGTATTTTAATATAGTGATTCTTTGTCACAATAACAGTCAGTAATCTAATCTATCATCCATTGATTTTGTTAATTTGCTTTACTTCAGCTGGTTCAATTTCCTACATGGTAGTTTTAATTGCTTCCCTTAAGTCTGCTTTGCTGTCATATTGTTTTCCACATTCATATAATTTCAAATTCATCATTGACCAAAGATTTTCGATCTGATTCAAATCAGGATTTGATGGTAGACATTTAATTATGTTCTTTGCTATAAATCTTTGATGTTTAAAGAAGACCCGGGTAAGCATTGACACATGAAAAGGATCATTTTCGTGTATAAAAACATGTTTCAGTTTGAAACTGAGAGACTGGAACAAGTACCATACAAAAAAAGCCTTGTTTATAAAATTGCAATATTAGCGCTGTTCAGTATCTGTCTATATTTCTGAGATGAGGTATTATGTACATTATTTACATTATTCAGATATTGTCCTCGTCTTCGTCGCCATGGCACAGTGGATAAAGGCGTTGGTTAGATCCAGTGACGGACCCAAAGAGTGTGAGTTCAATACTTTCAGAGGGAAATTAACAGGATATAGCTGACATCCATTAAATATGGCACGTGGAACTAGAAGAGTCTACCCCAGTGAGCGAAATAAAGGGTTCAGTTCGACATTCAAACAACCTGAAGAAGGAGCGTATAACGGCCGAAACGTTGTAATAAATATGGCGAGAAAGATGAGGATAATAGTTCGAATAATGTAAATAGTGAAAAATCTTTGTTTTCTATTATTTATATTGTTATAGAGTAATAATATGTCACTGCTGACACTTGTGCTTGAACGTATATCGCCAGTATACAAATACAGTCGATCTCATTAAACGACGTAGATCACGTGACCGTAGCGGAAACGCTTATATAAAGAAGTCGCATGACGTATGAGGTGTTCACTATTTCTCCTCTATCCCTTATATATTTGGGCCGCTATTCACTACTCTTATCGCTATACGAAGTACTATTAGTACGAGTCTTAATTTAACACGTTCGACACAAGTATTGTTCAAAGGCGTATTATAATTGGTATCTGCGATTAGCAAATTCCTACTATGTTGGCATTGACGAAGTATCAAGCAATTTTACGTTAGTATCACAACAGTGCCCACAAAGGGTCGTAGTGGCGACGTAACATAAATCTTTAAGGAAATATTTTAGATGGGGAAGTGAGTTTAGCTCTTCAAAGCTTAAGTTATTAATGAGAGCAAATTTATATTTTTCAGCACAATCACTGTTGTGGTTTAGAAAGAAATTATTAGAACTAGTAGACGCTTTATACTGAAACGTAGTAAAATTATTACGCTTATAGTCAATGAGAATATCTAGAAATGAGATTATTTTATTGGTATTTAGTTTATAAGTGAACTTTAAAACGGAATGATTTTATATAGGATATATCGCAACCACACTCTCACGGCGGCTCACATGTCACGTATAGGACCATAGTGTTATCAGACATAGTGTTAATATGCGCCATGGGGATCGTAATAATAATAAAATATTAATAAAATCAAATTGCAAAAACAGACTCATGATCATTGAAGTGATTGTCATACAAAAAAACTCATCAATAAATAAAAATAAAAGAATCCTCATCCTCAAATGTATATAATAAATAAATTAAAAAAAAACTTTACACCCCGATTACATGACCACACCCTTTTTCAACGTCACAATTCACTAAGAATGCGAAACTCACCAACTGACGCTATCCACCATGATGATGACATAAAAAAAAGTCAAAATCTTGCTCATTTTTTTTTTTTTTTGTTCTTTTCTCCCGAATTTAAATTCGGACAATTATTGAAGAAAAAAAAGGAAAAGAAAAGAGGTTGGTGGTTATGATCTGTGTGAACTTTCCTTTGGTTGATCTAAGCAAAGACCCCAAACTTTATAACCACCCAACGCTTTTCTTTTCCTTTCTTTTCTTTATTCGTAAAAAGAGAGTCTATCATGCTTTTAAATCTGTTTTAATCATTTCTTTGCCAGTAATTTACAATTGCCTGATGATATGTGTTGTATACTCATCAAAACACGACTGCAATTGTATAGCTATTTTGACATGTTTTCAATGTAATATCCTAAAATAAAGAATATTGCTCTAATTTGTATTGAGCCCTATTTTAAATTAAATGTTACGGACGTTGAAATTGCACTTTATTCGTTCTCCTCTTACTTATATATATATATATATATATATATATATATATATATATATTTCACTAAATTCTTACACTTTTCTAATAATTGATTATTTCTGTTATGTTTTTTGTACAGCTGTAACTGATCTTTACGTTATTTTTGTTAAATATTTTCGATAATTTGTTTGCTTCAGTGAAGTGTGTTTCTAAGAAGTTTAGGAATGTTTTTCCTATGTTCGTTTTAACGGTTTTGTTTTATGGTGGATTAAACCAGATAATGTTTCTCTTTCTGTTTCTGCGTTTTGGCTGTGGAGGTATATATTGTAGTTGTTGTGTGTAACCACTTGCTTTTAGTGCTTCGTTGCATGGTCCTTTTTTGCTATTGAAAATGTGTATGTAAGATGAGTTCTCAGATAGTCTGCGGCTGATTGATTTTGGTATTTGTTTGATGATAGAAGGTGGATGGTTGGAGGATGTGTGTACGTAAGTTGGGGTGTCATTTTCTTTTTTGTATGGTTCATATGTGTTGTTGGGCAGGTTAAGAGTGACGTCAAGGAAGTTTACTATTGTTGTGCCTGTATTTATCTCTATTTTGAATCCAATATTTTTTAGGGCGTTCACTATTATCTTCCTGAATTTGTCTACTTTGGGGCCATTGGATTCCCTTATTAAGATTAGTCCGTCATCTCTGTATAATCCTGTGTCCTTTCTCTCCAGTATTCTGGCCAGGTATGATAGGATGAGTATGCCTACTAATTCGCATATTTCTGATCCATCGTAGCTACCCATTGTTACGTCAAACAGGTTGTTGTTTTTTTTCTTTGCCCATGGTTCATTGTTGTGGAACAGCAGGGATTTGCGGCAATGCTTGATTATTTTTATATCTCCGTTCGTGAATTTTACATTTAGTTGTGCCAGTTGTATAGCTTCATTTAATATGCTTTCTGTAATGGAAGGATAAAAATCCACAATGTCAAATTGGATGAATTGTTCTTGTTATCTGTCGTTTTAAACCACTCTATGTGCTTTGGTGTTCTTCCACTGGTTGAGACCTAATTTTTCTCTTCCGTCTATATTCAATTTGGTGGCTATATTTTTGGCTTCTTGGTTTATAATGTTTATTGTGTTCGTGTTTGTCTTTTTGTATAGTTGTGTAATTTTGTTGGTTAAGAGTTGATTGTAGGCTGTAGGTTCTATAGTATACATGTTTGTGGTTTTGTCAGCCAAAATGAATACCATGTTGGAGTTGATTATTATTTTCCTGTCGTCTGTGATTTAAAAATCATAGAACACAAAGCCAGATTCGTAGAAAAACACACATTCAGACTAATTAACCCGGCGAAGAGGGAGATAGGAAAAATTAGTAAAATTAGTAAAAAGATACTAGAAAATATCAACACCAGCCTAAGAGAAAAATTATGTCTCAACCAGTGAAAGAACACCAAAGCCGTCATAGAGTGGTTTAAAATGTAGGCATGAGAACAAGTACCTATTATCCGAATTCATACCAAACGGATAAAATAGACAAACCACCAACAATCACAATTTAATTTCAAGATACCATCAAAATAATTGCATATATCATTATTATCATTGCACCACCATTAGTAATCACTTTTATCACTCTACAATAACTATTAACTAATAATATTATCATTACCACCAACACCAAACACCGTCACTTACACATCACACCTACTATTAACATATAAATCCACTACAATCTTTAACGCATATTACTCCCCCAGCATATTTAATACCTTAAAACAATAAGATCAGATATATTTTCCATATGTAACCATGAGAATAAACACCTATTACCAGGATTCATAATATATAAAAATAAACAAATAAATATAGAAAATAAAATAAAATAAAACACCAACAACCACACTTTAGTTCAAGCTAGCGCCACAATAATTACATTTATAAGTTTTTATTATTCTCTCAGCAACATTACTAATTACTACTAACAATTTACAATAAATATTAACCACTTATATTATTATTGCCACCAACCCCCTTACACATTACTATCACACCACATCTACCATTACCATATAATCCTGCCATAATTATTAACGTAAACTACCCCCTCTCCCAGCATATTTAATACCATCATAAAAAACCCAATAAGGATTACAAACTGAAATTTCTGCCAGTCACATATACACAGTGACAAAAAACAAAAAAAACAAGGAAATAACCAGCTTTAATATAATAACAATAATAATTTTGTAACTTTAAAATTAAAAATTATAGCAATCTTCAACTACCATAATTTTACACAGAATACCTATTATCAGGATTTACACCAAAATAAATTAATCCATATAACAAAATAAAATAAAATAAAACACCAACAACCACATTTTAGTTCAAGCTACCACCACTAGCTACCACCACTATAACTACATTCATGGTTTTATCATTCTTCCACCACCGTTACTAATCATTTCTACCAATTTACAATTTCTACCAATTTACAATAACTATTAGCTAATTATATTATCACTGTCTCCAATCCCTTGCAACATTACTTTCACATCATATCATATAGACCCGTTATTAAATTAAACTACCCTCTCACCCAGCACATTAAATATTAAACATCACCATATAAATTAACCAATAAGGATTACAAATTTCTTCCTGTTACATATACACAGTCACTAAAAACAAACAAATAAACAGCTTTAAATATAACAAATAAACCCCCATTTTTTCAAAAATTTAAAAATAAATATAAATAATAATAATTTTTACTGATCATAATTTTACACAAACCCCACCACACGTATATACATACATGCGAGGAAATATTCAGCGGAAAAATACATAATATGACATGTATACATTCACGAGATATTCTCGCCACACTTCCAATCTTTAAATTTCAACATTTCAACATACAAATGCGTATGTATAGACACAACACCACCCGTATACATACATATTTCATATCCGAAACTGCCCACATATGTTTATATATGTATGAGTCCCGACGGACGACCAAGTATATATATGTGTCTGCATACATCGATGTTTGCGTTAGTACGATGACATAAGCGACGAAGTTTCCCCCACCACTTCCACAATAACAACAAGAAAATAATTATACATATATATATTTATTTATATTTATATACACACACACACACACACACACACACACACACACATATATATATATATATATATATATATATATATATATATATATATATATATATAAAGAACAAAAAAAAGCGTTTAGAAATTCCTATCTGAAATCGTGCCTCGTTTCCTGCTAGAGTGAGCTTAAAGACGATATCTTATTTTGTTTTTTGGGGGTTTTTTTTCGCGTTACAGCTCTAACCTTGTTTGATTAATAAAGGCATTTTACTTTTTTTTCTTTAGCAAGGTTTGATATTTGTAGAGGTGTTTTGGGGTTTGTTTTTTTTTTGCTTATCTATATTGCTTTATTCTCTTACTCTCTCTCTCTCTCTCACTCTGTGTCTCTCTCTCTCTTTTGTGACTCTTTGCATATATATAAATATATATATATATATATATATATATATATATTTATTTGTGTGTGTTTGTGTGTGTGGTGAGGGAATCGATATATAATATTTTATATATCAAACACAATTTCAGGCAGATCTATGACAAAATAGAAAACTTATAGAACTTTCTTATTTCAGCTGACTAATGTGATGTTTACATATTCAAGAATGGGGACGATGAATTTTAAATTTAAATTTACTTATATTTTAGTCAATATAGGTTTGTGTATATAGCCTAACTGATGACATTTATTTTTATCACTTTTCTTATTATAAATTTTAAAATAAATAAAATTAGAAACATAATACATAGTGAATTCAGAAAACTAAATTTTAAAACTACAGTCAACAAAAATTGAAAAGTTTAAACTTCCTCGACATAACTTTGGACTTAATGAGCAACATATACTTACCTTACAGACATCCTAACCCTAACCGCTTGTATG